TGCTAAATTTTTCTTCCTGGATATTCCATTTCTGAGCCCGAAAAAAGACGAACAATTTAATTATCCTAAAAACGAATAAAACAGTTTTGTAGAGGAGAAAGAGCTCTTTCAAATGAGTGTATACACTTTGCTAAAAAAACAAAATAACTCGTCGTAAAATAACTCTAACGCAAAACTCTACGAACTTATGTTACAACCCAATAATAAACGATCCCATACTGCCTAGTGGTTCCCATGTTTGATGTTTGACTGTCTCTAGTCATCATAACACGTAGTCAACTAGGGTTGTCTTTGTTTCTTGTGCACGATTGTATTATTTATTGAGGTTTAAATTATCACTCGAATGGATGACAATTAGTGTTGTCACTTGCTCACTGCTTGCGCTTGAGCATCATGGTGGTTTCACGAGGGTGAATGATGTAGTTCATGCCGTTGAGTATCCAAAACATTCCTGTAACACTGATCATTTGTAGCACTTAAAGTAGTTTAAGTAATGCGTGAAAAAGTAATGACAGGACTTCCCTGACCAACTATTTCTTGAGCTATAGGCGGTCTATCATTTTTTCTTTACCGTCCATTTTTAAGCCATCTCTTGTCTCATAATTTTAGCCTTTACTGCTGTATCTTCATTGATAACAAATTTTGGTTTTACCGTTAATGACCCTCTGTCTTCACTAGTTACCGATACACACGATCTTACCTTTTTAGTGGAAAAGGTTCGTGAGAAATAGGCAAAAAGGACGGAATGGGACAAGGATAGTGGGAAAGGAAGACGTGGTTATAACGAATATGTTCATCCGAACTGAGGTTGCACCAAGTCCGGGAGAGTTGCAAGCCCCCTTCAATAGTTTGATGGACAGAAGCCACTACCGCCCATTGTTACTCTGAACTCAGTCGATTGAGCGCCAATCGTATGTGGGAAGCTAAATGGGTGGATTCGGAGTAGTACTTATCGATGACAGACCCTGAGACGGAACGGGATCACACTAGAGATTAGAAAACGAAGAAAACCTACCGTATTCACGAGAAGGGTCTTTAGATAATTCATAAGCTCCATTCAACGTCGCCAATGCGCAATAGCGTAGCCACCAGCCCCTTAATTAGTTGCTGCTGAAGTGAAAGCATTATACATGTCTACAAAAAAGCATTCAGAGTCGCACTAGGCTCTTCTGAGTATGAAAAAAATAGTTTACGGACCCCATTCTATACTCCGTCACGCAATTTGGTCTCGGGTCATTAATCCTGTCAATGGTTGAGAATTTAGCTCCCACGGAATATGTAATGTCGTACCTGAAGATGGCACTTTTCTACTCATCTATTCGATACTAATTAACACTGAATGAATGTTTTGTAAACGTATTTCACCAACCACGCAGTAGACGCGTTACCCTCATTGTGCTTCCAGTCGAGGCGGAGTCGTTCTAGCGTGTAGTTGGTTTCTTCAGGTCCAACCTGTAAAAATCTGAAGCGTATAGCTGGGCAATCGAATAGCTTCATACTAACAAAGCTGAAAGATGAGCTGGACGTTATTGAAGTATAGATTAGTTCAAGCGGGCCTTCTGTTGTCTTCTGAAGGAATAGTAGAGTCGGTGAACAAAACTCCACTAACAGTTTCTGTCTTTCTTTCAGATTCTGACTTTTTTTTTTGATCTCATTTACTGGAATGCTAGCTTCACCAAAATCATAAGCCGTCACAAGCCAAAAGCTCTGATTTCTTCTATTAATTCAGTTTATCCTTCACTGAACTCAATTTTCCGTATACATTTAGCATATGCATTACTGCGTAGGGATCATTTCCTATCAGTAAAAAACCGCATTCCCACCGTGAGTCGTCTGGACAGACTCATTTTCCACAAGCCAGAAATCCTGCCCTTGGTTACCCTTTCCCGTTTTTTTTTCAATGGCATCGTCATGTTTTTCCCAGCTTGCTCTCATGTCAAAGAAGAACCCGTACTCATTTCCTACGGAACTTTTCCTACTGAAGGGATAGTAGACAGAAACCCACAATGTTATTCATTTTTGTAGAAGGGAACCTTAAGTTTCACTAGCAGTTCAATTTGAAGGAAAAATTTCGAACCCTGAATTTGAAGTAGTGATTCCACCAGTATCCATTAGGATTTTTTGCTTTTGGTGTTCTGTCACCTCTCATCTCCACTCTAAGAATCACATCAGAATCCTTGTTCGTGAGCTGATATAGAGCCTCGTTACCCAACCAGAAGTTGGAGTTCTAAATAGTAGAGTGATTGTTCCGGAGAAGTGCTGATAGGATAGTGGTTCACTTCAACTTACCAGTCCCATTTTTCCAAATCCATTTCTGTACTCGGTCCAGTTATGGTCCCAAAACGAGTCACTTCCGTCGATCCTCCTGCAATTCAATCGTCGTGAGCAAGTGGAAGGCAAGGTCAAAAGTAAATAAAACTCCAAGTCAAATCGCTGTTAACGCAAAGTTTCGTAAAGAAAGAGGTGTCCAGAGCTCAAAGATGAAATGCTGATCAAGATGGAGTAAAAGAAATTTTGTGTGGAACAAGATAGGAAATCTGAGCCTGGTTGCAAAAGCGAATACTGAACTTTTACCAATAAGACCGCCTTTTTCCTGAATTGTAACAAATATTTGTTCAAACCTCTGGAACACAACCCATCCTCCTCCAGCGGTGTGCATGTCGCAGTAGACTGTATAAGGCTTCCCTTTGACAATGATCCTGTACTCACCATCTCTGAGCAGTGAGACTATTTGATTTACAAGAAAAGTATGGGGTGTAGTTCGGCGTCTTCTGCAATTGGACTTACTTTTTATAGCCAGCTTCGTACCAATCAGCACAGTCGCTCATCGCTACACGCGTTTCGCAGACAAAGCATTTTTCCTCATCGCAGTCTGTCGTACTTCGATCACCTGTAATATGGCCATCTCGCAACTTTTTCCGAACTGGATGAACCTCAGATTTCTCAGGAACATCGAAAAGTAAAGTGGAAGTTCCTACCTCCCTCGAACGACGCAAATATACATTGCTTGAGCGAGTTCGATTCTGCTGAACGAGTAGTTTATTTATTATGAAGAAATATAAAAGAGAGAGTTCATTGACACCATAAAAACCTACTTCGTTCTGATTTGTCGGATGCAAACGGTGAGCCGTCTACCCATGAGCAGTTGCCGGAAGTACACCGCCCACCAGTCCAGTAGTATTTGCAGTCGCCTGGGTCTCCAAGCGCTTAATAAATGTTTTTGACCATCTGTTTTCCGAGCACATTTTTGGATCATATACTCTTATGGTAGGGAGACTGCGTTTGACTGATTTTCTCAGCAATTTTCCTCTTCAGCTGGTCGTTGAGAAGTAAATCATTCACAGTGTTTTCAAACATTTGGCCATTTCATCAAATACGTGATTATATACAGCTGAAACTCTGCGCTCTGTTCCCTGTTCTTACAATTAGTGCGCTTGAGTAGGTTAAATAGCACTCTCGAGTTGGTTCATCGAATTTAGAGACATTCCTAATCAATAAATATTTATATATAAATATAAAAATAATAAAGTGTAGAGCCAAAAAAGCACAACTTTTTTGTTGGGCGTTGATCAATCCCTTCTAAGGGATGCGCCACACACTCGACTTCCACTGAGAATCGAAGTGGCGTATTGAGTGTGTATGCGGCCTATACAGGGAATTGCGGTGACCAGCCAATCTTCACGTCAGTGCTTTAATCCTTCCAGATGGACCTGGTACCAATTAAATGATCCTCGAGGTATGAAAGGCTTAGTCAGCCCAGGCCTATATCGAAACGAGATTGGAACCCGTGACCCTGCGAATGTGATAGCGTGCTATTTGCCACTACCCCACCTACTAACCGTGATGATGGCCTCTTCTTCTAACTAGCGAGTTCAGGAACAAAGTCAGCAGCATGATATTGCCGCAGATTCCACAACTCTATATATACTCTACATAACTCTATCGGTATATACCCTACTGGAGTTTCATTT